TTTGGGCAAATAGACTGCTATGTTCCATACAAACCTGTCGTGCTCATTAACTATTTAGCTAATAATAAATGTTTCATGGTGTTGAAGTCAATGCCGCTTAGCATTACTTCGCAAGACAGCTGCTGAGCCTTGTGTTTTGTCAATCCCACCTCTCGACCTCTGACTCATCTTCCACCTCGAGCTCGAAAAGGAAAAAGAAGAGAGTTTGAAATGCCAGTTCCAAACCACTAAAAATAAAAGGCGTCCCCTGACATGAAATTACATAAATAAAGCATCCAGAATTCTTTGGAAAGCCATATACTATGCATAATGCTCATGGCTGGTACCAGAGGAGAGCTGGGAGGCAAGAAGCCTGCCAAACCAGGAGGCCGCCCCTCATTACTGGACTCCTGTTCACCTTCTCATCACGTTTCCCTTGGTTGCAGCCGTCATGAACTGAAGGGCAAAGTTCTGCAGGGGTGAGACTCCTGGACTTGTCTAACTTCCTGCAGGATTTTGAGCAGTGACATTCAACATTGTGCCCTCCATAGATTGTTATCTTCCTTTCCGAAATCTTAACATGTAGGATGCAACTCGCCAGTGTAGAAATGTATTTTGCCTCTTTTGTGCCTGTCCCCCTCCCATTTTTTCCTGGTACCCCACTGATAATGGCTTGGTCCAGGGAGATTGTTGTGTTGTTGTTTAGTCATTTAGTCGTGACCCCATGGACCAGAGCACACCAGGCACTCCTGTCTTCCACTGCCTCCCGCAGTTTGGTCAAACTCATGCTGGTAGCTTCGAGAACACTGTCCAACCATCTCGTCCTCTGTCACCCCCTTCTCCTTGTGCCCTCAATCTTTCCCAACATCAGGGTCTTTTCCAGGGAGTATTCTCTTCTCATGAGGTGGCCAAAGTATTGGAGCCTCAGCTTCAGGATCTGTCCTTCTAGTGAGCACCCTGGGACATCAGGGAGTCTGAATTCCAATGCATGCTGAAAAGGGCTGATTCTGGACAACCATCTGTTGGGTTAACATCAGAGGGTGTGTTAGGTAGGAGTCAGCCTCACTGGGTACTGTTCAACACCAGTGCCCCAGTAGGATGTCCACTGTCAATTCCAGGAGGCTCTTTGCCCTACACTTTTCCTCTTCTCCTTTTGCCATTACTGCCTGTTCACCTCCCATTCCAAGTGGACAAGGAGAACTCACCCTACTGTGCCTTGTCCTCTCTTGCCCCCCTTCCCAATCCCTCAAAACAACCACCACCACCACCACCACCTGGAATCAGCACTTGGTAACCCGCGACTCAGAACACCTTGGCTTTTCAACTCCTCAGGAGCAAAAGCATTACATGTTGAGATCCAGCATCTCCTGAGTCAATGTTCTCATTTTAAAAAGGGTAGTTTCATTTTAAAAAGGGTAGAGTATATTGCCCATATTCATCTATCATCTGAATATGTTACTCCTTAAAACAAAAAAGGTCTATGTTCAAATATACATTTGGTGTGGGTCCCCCCTCCCCGGCAATCCTCTTCTTAAACCATTGCTGTTCTTTTGGTTTTGTCACTCAAGAGATAAAAAAAGCTGTCATCTGGCAGTAGAAAGTAAATAGCTACACGACTGCCTGAATTATTTAGTTCATATTTATTTATATTCCAGTTTGTTAGAATGCCCTTAACCATTGCTCTCAGTGTTTGCAAGGTGTTTGCTCTCCTGTGATTCTTATTTTATGGATTCAACAACCGGAATGCACTAGGTAACTTTCCGGAGTCTAGCAATCAACCAATCCTTCCTAAGATAAAATGAAAATAAAGGGGGAAATAGATTTATGGGAAAACAAATGATCCCCTCAGTGTGTTCAAAGCCTAGGCTGCAAGCCTCTCCTCCCTGACGAGGCATAAGAATGCTCAGACATTCCCCATGAACAGGTAAAGCAAATGACAACATGAAATGTCCCAAGAATTGATAGATTGTAGTTTGCTCATCCTCTTGCGATCCTGACAAGGAATACAATTAATATTTCTGGTAGGTGTTCAGGAGTTTCAGGATGAATGCAAATATTTGCTGTGTGCCGTTCTGCCTTTCTTTCAGAGTTATATGATGGAACATTTTCTTTATCCAATATATGTGTTTTAAAGAACAGCTTTTCTGCCCCCTCTCCTCCCCCAAAATCCCATTTTATATGTAACTGTCCTAATTGTCTGATGTGGTGATAAGCTCTCAATATAGCACCAAGACCCCCACAGCATTTTTAAAATGACTATGAGCCAGCTGAGGTAAGCATGTTTAAGACCCATTGACTTCAATGAAAGTGCCACCCTCTATTCTTAAATCCATCTCACTGAAAGCATTTAGGCTTAACAGTGCTTGCTTGCCTATTGGACATGCCCAATCTATTGCAAAAGTATGTAATTAGTACAATACAACATTGTAAATGGTGAAACAATTATAACGCAAACTATTAATAATGAAGCTAGGCTATCATGTGTGACAAACAAATGTCCTGATCTCGATCCAAATTTTGTAGATGAGTTACATTGTTGATTAATTCTGTTAATCATTGCAATTGGGACAGACAAATTTTGGATCATCATCTTCTTTCTTTTGGTTCTCCACTGGCAATCAGGATTGCCAGCTCCCCGTATATTTGTGCTCCAAAACCCTTAAACCAAGTCTGTGTTTGAATAATACTTTCAACATGGTACAGTTCTCAGGATCTTGGTGCCCTGGATATTTTTATTTCATTGCTAAGTGATCCATCTTTAACGTGTGCCCTAAAATCCTGATTAAAAAGCCTATTGATTTGTCATTCATTGGAGTCAAATCAAGTATCTTGCCTTGTCAGGAATCTGACTTGGTTCCTTGAACTTGTCAGGGCAATAAGTATCTCGCAAATGCGGCCCTGACTGCAGTTATTTTGACAAGACATTCTCATTTTATACAGTTCTGCTTCAATGAGTTATTGAAATCTACTCAAATGAAATCTTTAGAAAGGAAAGGAAAAGCTCTTTCCTTTGCTAAGATACTGAGATGGAATTAACTGGTGGGTTAATTGTCAGATGTGTGTGTGTGTGTGTGTGCATATCAAAAAGTATGCAATACTAATTGGTTATTTAATGGCCAAATAATACACCACCTCGCTTATGGAGCCTCCAAATTGCAAAATGATGCTTTAATTTCCTCACCCTGGTGCAAAACAAGTCATTGATAACTAGAATGGATTGGAAGTGTGCTGAGTGTTTGCCCATTTTGATTAGCAGGGGGAAATGAACACTTTGTGGTCTGCTGGTGAGCTGCCAACTGCACAGAGTTTCTCAACATGCCCTCCACATGTCCCCGCTGGATGCAAGATGGCTGCCGAAAGCTTGTTGTCACAAGTTGCTGTGATGAGAGCATTTCCGTGAATCAACAGTAAGATTGGGCTGAAATTCTATGCATGCTTACTTGGAAGTAGGCCTCAGTGAACCTAGTAGGATATAATTGCAATTGCACATTATTAGGATTGGGCTATTACTGATTGTTGTAAACTAATAGTAGGTAGACTCTGGACAAGATAGTCTGTGCAAATCTCAGGAAACAAAATTAAGTTGCATTTCTTTCTATGAGGAGTTGGGTGATGGAAGACCTGGGATTCAAATTGGCAAAATGGAGGGAATTTTCAGTTTTAATGGGGCATAATTTTAATCTGTTTTGCAAGAGCTGGTGGGCAGGCAGACTTTGGTTACCCATCACAAACCCTGAAGATTATTTATTTCGATTTATGAAGGACTGCTATGTACCCGTGCTTTGTAATCTCGTTATTTCTAAAGCTCTAGTGCAGTTCTGACAGGCATCTACATCCTGATGAAGTGTCTTCTGTCACTAATTGGACCACCAAGTCACATATGCAAATTTCAAACTAACATAGACAACAGTATTCAAGGGGAGGGGGACCTGCCTAAGTGAAAATGAAAGATGTGATTAATATAATATGGGTTCCCGGCATTGGAATGTACTGTGGATTCCTAGCATTTCTGGCCATTAGAAGAAAATGCCCCAGGAATACTTGCACTGTCCACTCTTTTCATAAAAGTTAATCATAACTGATCCTGCTGTAACAAATGCAAACTAAGCCTTCTTGTTAATGTATTAATAATGAATAATACGATAGATTGGAATGCCTTGTTTATTAGACTATCAATAATTAACTGAGATTTGCCGTTTGTGGCAAACGACTGTTATTTCAGTTGCAGAATTCAGTGGCATAATTTATATGGTAATTTTGTGCAAAACAGCGCCAATTACAGTGAGGCCATTTTAGCACAGAAAGAGCAAGTGATGATATTATCAGTTTTTGTTAACTTTTCAATTCTATATTAGCAGTGTAGCCTGCTAAGTAAACATCACTGAGGGATGGGACGAAAGAAGGAAAGTGCTGGCTTTGTGGTATATGTTGTAAATTCATTGCAAACACACGCACACACACAAACCTGTGTGTTAAGAACTTTGCTTCAGGATGAGAACAGAAATCGCATGGTGGCGGCACAGTGGCAGCGGGAGGCCCCATTAGCTAAAGTGGTACCTCAGGTTAAGAACAGTTTCAGGTTAAGAATGGACCTCCAGAATGAATTAAGTTCTTAACCAGAGGTACCATTATAATAATAATAATAATAATAATAATAATAATAATACCCCGCCCATTTGGCTGGGTTTCCCTAGCCACTCTGGGGGGCTCCCAGCAGAATATTAAAAACACAATAAAACCTCAAACATTAAACACTTCCCTAAACAGGGCTGCCTTCAGATGTCTTCTAAAAGTCAGACAGTTGTTTATTTCCTTGACATCTGATGGGAGGGCGTTACACATGGCGGGTGCCACCACCGAGAAAGCCCTCTGCCTGGTTCCCTGTAACCTCACTTCTCGCAGTGAAGGAACCATCAGAGGGCCCTCAGAGCTGGAGCTTGGTGTCTTGGCTGAACGAAGGGGGTGGAGATGCTCCTTCAGGTATACTGAGCCGAGGCCGTTTATGTTGATTTAAGCAGAGTCTGTCGTGCCCAGCGGAAGGATGAGGAAAATGTGTTGCATACTCCATATATTGCTTTTATTTACAGTTCAAAGCTGGTATATTACAGAAAGACATCTTGCCTCTTCAGGAGCAGAAAAATGCATCCTCTCTCCTCAACAGCTTGGAGAGAATCACAGTGAAAAAACAGGAAACCAGTGTACGTCACATCCAGTCTCCCTTTCCCGTGAGAAACTCCAACAGTACAGACTGTGGAATGCAAAACAATGTCTTGTGACTGCAGTTGCTGCTCAGTGAGGGAAATAGAAACCAACATCCTCCCCCTTTCTGTGAACATCACTGGGCAGCGTGTTCGTACAGTATCAGTACAAACCCAACTTCTGCACATAGGTACAGTGTTGATCCCTTGATACAATCTTGGACAATACATCAGCAGGAATTTCATTACCTGGCATATAGGACACCGTTACGAGTCCCTTCTGAATACATTCCCTAGCATGCTGCAACTTTAATTGCAAGTGCTTTGTGCTTTGCTTACAACCTTCAGACTTTAGCAAAGCCAAACATGCTTTGTTGTCCTGGTAAACCTGGATTGGACATTTGACAGGAATTTTCATATCTTTGCACAATTGTACTAACCATTCACAATCCTTAAGTGAATAAGACAGTGCATTCAGTTCGGCTTCACAAGTACTTAAGCTAACTGTTGTTTGCTTCTTGCATGACCAATCAAACAGACTCTGATTGTACATGTAGCAAACTCCAGACGTACTTTTCCTGTCTGTAGCGTCACTTCCAAAACTTGCATCTGCAAATATCTCAAGACCACCAGACTTCTGATTGTTAAATCTCAGTCTGTAATGCATAGTGCCTTTCAAATACCGCGCTATGCGTTTCAGAGCATACCAATCCTTGACACTAGGATTGTTGACTTGTCTGCTTAGCAAATTACAGCTAACAGCAATGTCTGGTCTTGAACACCTGGCAATGAAGTTTAGCTTGCCTAGCACACTCCTGTACAGTGTAGTGTCAGAAAATGCTTCTTCAGTGTCATCTACCTGATAACCTGTTGTCATCGGTGTGTCTGCTGGGTTTACATCAACCAAATTCAACCTGGTTAATACATCAGCAATTTTCCGTGACTGGTGTACTAGAATGTTACCATCTTGATCTCTCTCTATTTCCAGAGATAGGTAGTTGTTTACCTCACCAAGATCTTTCATGTCAAAGTGCTCTTTCAGTTGAGCTAGGGCGCTATTGTACATTGCAACATCTTTCCAAAAGAATAATAAATCATCAACATAAAACAAACAGTACAGTTTCTTTTGCCCCTCCTCTTTGACAAATACACATGGATCAGCTTTCCCTTGCTGAAAACCTAGAGAAAACAATACTTCAGTGAGTTTTGTGTGCCAACACCGTGCACTTTGTTTGAGACCATAAAGGGATTTCTTCAGAGCACAAACAAATCCCTGTTTTACCTGTACGCCATCAGGTGGAAGCATATAAAGTGATTCATCTAGAGATCCGTACAGAAAAGCTGTATTAATATCATGGTGACTAATGTGTAGATTTTCTTCTGCAGCTAGCTTAAGCATAAGCCTAATGCTTTCATATCTCACTGTGGGTGAATAGGTCTCGTGATAGTCTTCACCTGGTACCTGTGCAAAACCTCTGGCTACCAATCTGGCTTTGTGTCTGACTATCTTGCCATTTTGATCTGTCTTCGCTTTGAAGACCCATTTGCTTCCAAGCAGTTTCATTCCTGGAACTACTGGAACTAGCTCCCATGTTTTGTTCCTTTCTAAGGAATCAAGCTCAGCCTTCATGGCATTTAACCATGGCTCAGCTTCCTTTGAATCCAAACCCTGGATTTCTTGGAAACTTGAAGGTTCAAATACCTTCTTGGAGCTTTTAACAGCTGTTACTGCTATCGTAGCAAACTCATCAGCAAATCTCTTTGGAGGTTTGCCTTTTGTGGCTCTCTGTGACCTACGAATTATCCTTAAGTCTTCAACACTCTCCTCTTCCTTCTTAGGAGAAAAACGACCTATTGTGAACAATGGTTCTTCCAATTCTTGATCAGAGCTTTCAGAGGGTCGCATAGAGGCTTTCGCACTCTTGAAATCCTCTGAATCACCCGATTCAGTTTCAGATTCAGACTCAGAACCTTCATCAGTGGGTGTGGGCTGTTGTGGTTGCTTTTGACTATCCTCAGTCTCATCACCGTCATCAGGATAACATTGGAAAATTCCCACATTCCCCCCCACTTTGCATTGTACTCAACACTTCTCGTGAGCTTAATTGTTTTAGAGTCAGTCATCATTATTCTGTAAGACCCTTTCTGATAACCTAGAAAGATACCATGCAATCCACGCTTGTCTAACTTGGAGTTTTGTGGTGAGCGAACCCACATGTCAGAACCAAAAATCTTCATGTGTTTGATGTATGGCTTCTTGCCAAACATCTTCTCATAGGAGTACAACCAATCGCTGAAGCTAACCTGCGATTGTAACTGTAAACAAAACACGAGAGAGATTCGGCCCAATAACTCTCTGGAAGATTGGCATCATGCAGCAAGGTTTTTAATCCTTGAAGCAATGTCTGATTTGCCCGTTCCGCAAGTCCATTCTGCCATGGCGAGCGAGGACTAGACAAATCGTGTTGAATTCCTTTCTCAGTCAGAAAAGCTTCAAACTGCTGAGAAGTGAATTCCCCCCCGCGATCACTGAAAAGAGTCTTTATCTTCTTACCATGCACATTTTCCAACCAAGCACAGAATTCCTTGAACCTAGGAAAAGCCTCCGATTTCTGCTTGAGATTGTACACAAAAATATATCTAGAAAATGCATCAATGAGAACCATGAAGTATCTATTTCCACCCAAAGAGGGCGCAAGTGGTCCAACCAAATCAGCATGAACAACCTGGTATGGTTCTGTAGCTTTCCTACTAGACACCTTACCTTTCGCAGCCATTTTCACCTTGTTTGCTGCGCATGCTTTGCACTTCATGTGGTACCTGCAGGGTTTAATAGTCATACCTTCAACCAAGGCAGGCATTTTAGATACTGCCTCAAAATGCAAATGACCAAATTTGCGATGAAAATCGTGAATACATTCTGCATGCAAACTTTTGTTAGAACCTGCAATGCAACAAGTGTCATCCTGCACCACATCATCATAATACAAAACAAACAAATGATCAACATATTCTGCATGCAATACATAATCATTTTTCTTTGTGATGATGCACTTCTTGTTCTTGAAGGAAACGTCAATGTTCCGCTCATTCAGCTGTCCAACGCTGAGCAGATTATGTTTGGCGTCTGGCACGTAAAGCACATTCTGTATCGATAAGTCCAAACTGTGAAGAACAACAGTTCCGTAGCCTTTACTGGGAATAGTGTGGTCATCCGCCTGGTGAATCGCACCTTCCTGCGGTGTAAAAGACACAAACAGTTTCTTATCGTTGCACATGTGGTGGGTCGCCGCTGAATCAACAACGAAGAAAGATCTAGACGTCTTCTGGACCTCTGCAACCTTTGGAGTGAAGCGTGAAACCATAGCCTTGTGCTGCGTTGTCCTAGACACCGGACCTTTGCCTTTGCCTCGGCCTTTTCCGCGCGATGAGCTTTCGCTGCGCTGCTCTGTCTTGGCCCTGGGATGTCTGCATTCCCTCTTCATATGGCCTAGACGTCCACACGAGTAGCATTTTACTGCCTTCATAGCTTTGGCGCCATCTGGTGGTTCCACTGCACTATGGGATGACGTCTGTGAAGACTCCCCCTTGCCCATGCAGCCAGCACCCGGCGATCTGCTTCATTTAAAATCACGGCAGTAACAAAGTCCACTGTCAGCTGAGCAGTTGGTTGCACAGCAATCTGGGTTGCAACAGACTCCCAACCTGAACCCAAAGATTGTAGTATCATGAAAGAATACACAGCCTCTGGAAAGTTGAGTCCTCTCTGTTGCAGCTCATGTCTGAGATTTTGCATCTCCATTAGATGTAAACGCACATCTCCACCTTCAGCAAGAGCCATATTATGCAGCTTGTTAAAATAAAACATTGTGGATCCAGCTTCTGTCCTTAAGTGAGCCTCTCTCAGAGCGTCCCAAATTTCTCTGGCTGAGGTCTTATCACGCAATAGACAGAGCTCTTCTGGGGATACTATCAATGTAAGAGTTCCCCTTGCTTTGGAATCCTTAGCTTCCCATGCATCTGTAACTGGAACTGGGGGGGTTCCTGTAATCACCTCAAACAAACCCTCTTTCCGCAGAATTGCCTCTGCATACTGAACCCAGTCGCTGTAATTTTTCTTGTTGAGCTTAGGAATCCCACAAGCATCCTGAAGGGCCATCATAACTCTGGCATTAGCCTTCAGCGTCATATGCTGCTTTAAATCTTGCTGCGTCACTGCTGCAGCTGCCTTATCCAAAAGCACACTTAAAAGTTACTTTCGATTTCCCCAGCATAGTGACTTGTGCCTGGGAGCCTTTTGCCTATTCCCGTCAAAACCGGCTTTAAAAGTTCAAAGTCCAGCCATAAAGCCATTAACTTGAAGCTGGCAGGCTGCCCGGAGCAGTAGCACATACCTCATCAATCACTTCTACGCGCAGAGCAGATTCCTTTCCGATCCGTCCCTCTGCATTCCGATCCGTCCTCTGGAGCCCATAACCACGTGTTGATTTAAGCAGAGTCTGTCGTGCCCAGCGGAAGGATGAGGAAAATGTGCTGCATACTCCATATATTGCTTTTATTTACAGTTCAAAGCTGGTATATTACAGAAAGACATCTTGCCTCTTCAGGAGCAGAAAAATGCATCCTCTCTCCTCAACAGCTTGGAGAGAATCACAGTGAAAAAACAGGAAACCAGTGTACGTCACATCCAGTCTCCCTTTCCCGTGAGAAACTCCAACAGTACAGACTGTGGAATGCAAAACAATGTCTTGTGACTGCAGTTGCTGCTCAGTGAGGGAAATAGAAACCAACAGTTTAGGGCTTTAAAGGTCAGCACCAACACTTTGTATTGTGCTCGGAAGCGTTCTGGCCTGCTTCTTGTGCATAGGATTTCTCCCTGTATCTTTTTGTCCCTATTCTGCCTTTGGATAAGACGTACTCTGCACGGTTATTGTGCATAAGAGTAGATTTCCTGGAGAGGCCGTTCCTCAACCTTCCACCCAGCACGGTGGGCTGCAAAGCTTTGATCTTTTCTCTGAAAAGCTGTATCTCTTGTATTGATTATCGAAGAGGCTCCCTTTCACCCCAATTCCTACATATAAGAGCTCACCAAATCGATTGAGAGCCTTTTAGTTTGAGCACAACGGATATTACTGCTGCTACGGCTGTCGGAGGCAATGCTGTTTATTGTGCCACTGTGGTCTGGAAATGTCCCCCCAGTAGCATATCAATATTCACATATGCAAGAACCCCTGTGTTAAGTTGTTGGTGAACATATCAGACCACACAGCGATTCTTCAAACAGCTCTTGTTTATTCACAGGCGCAGAACTGAGCTGAAGGGTTCAGCCAACCTGCTTATATAGAGCTCAACTACCAAAGCAACAGTAACAACTTTCTGTAACTATCCAATCACTGAACTTCACTTTCAATTCCTTATTTGCATATGCGGACCTGAGTGAAAACTATCTACAGTATCCCCCCTGCTGGCCCAGGGTGAGAACTTCAATACATAACACCCTGACCCTGTATCTCATGGATCCTGCAAAATCTAGCAAGAACACCAGGACTGTGTTACCCACTGACAGCAACCCAAATACAGAAAACAACAAGATACCACTGTAAACGACTTCCACACACATTCTCCAGACGTCTCCAACATCACTCAGCAAAAGGAAAGATAGCAGAAGGATTTAGATTCTGCAAATTGGATGGGCATCAGATTTACCCATTAAATCAGACTTTTTATCAAAATAGAAACCACCTCGATTGCAAACCAATATAAAATGTCCTGAACTTCATTTCCTGGCCAAATATGCTTGATTATTTTTAGCAGCTCAGCTTTGCCTCTCTTTTTTTTGGTGATGGTGAGGGGACGACAAAAAAATCACAGCCTAAATCAATTTTATGATCTTAGTTGAACCTGCAAGTCTGCAATTAATTTATTGGTGTTTCTGGAATGGCAATAGGTGAACTTGAACGGCTGACAGATGGCAAGTCATTTACAGGGGAGAAATTAGAACTGGACCATATATGGATCCCGCGGGTTTGCCATGACCCATCAGCAGAGGAAAGAGGACCTTCACTGCATAATAACGGAGGCCTATTACTAAGATAATTACCAAACCAACTCGCTGCCAGTAGGCCTAGACCTTGATTTCTCTGTTATAAAGCAACTGCTCTTGATCTGTGAAGTAGAAGTGTTCAAGGTTCACAACAAGCATAACCCCAACATCTGCCTGCCATCTAAAGATAATGATGTGGCATTAATTAATTTGAACAATGCAGGCTAGCATCAGACAGTATCAGGAATAAGACAGCTAACATCATCCCATTTGTCTTGTTAGTTATCTCCCGGCATGCAACTGGGAAATGGAGCGATTGCAGCGTAAGAGGCAGTTGGAGGAAAAGAAATGAGCTGATACAATTTGCCTCATTTCGCCTTTGTTTTCATGAGGGATGAAGAGTGCCTCCTATCTGTAAAACCCTCCCCATCTGCCAAATGCCAGCGCCATACGGAAGGAGGGAGTGTGAGCAGGCGCTTGAAGAAAGATTTCGTGGTGCAACTACCGTATTTTTCGTTCCATAAGACACACCTTTTCCCTCCTAAAAAGTAAGGGGAAATGTCTGTAAATGTCTGTGCATCTTATGGAGCGAATGTGTGGTTGATCGCTGGGTCCCTTTCCAGCCCTGCCCCCTTGCCCAGGCCTCCATTGTTGAATGTTCTGCGTGTTGATTTAAAGCAGAGTCTGTCGTGCCCAGCGGAAGGATGAGGAAAATGTGCTCCATACTCTATATTGCTTTATTTACAGTTCAAAGCTGGTATATTACAGAAAGACATCTTGCGTCTGCAGGAGCAGAAAAATGCATCCTCTCTCCTCGACAGCTTGGAGAGAATCACACAGTGAAAAACAGGAAACCAGTGTACGTCACATCCAGTCTCCCTTTCCCGTGAGAAACTCCAACAGTACAGACTGTGGAATGTAAAACAATGTCTTGTGACTGCAGTTGCTGCTCAGTGAGGAAATAGAAACCAACATCCTCCTCCTTTCTGTGAACATCACTGGGCAGCGTGTTTGCACAATATCAGTACAAACCCAACTTCTGCACATAGGTACAGTGTTGATCCCTTGATACAATCTTGGACAATACATCAGCAGGAATTTCATTACCTGGCATATAGGACACCGTTACGAGTCCCTTCTGAATACATTCCCTAGCATGCTGCAACTTTAATTGCAAGTGCTTTGTGCTTTAGCTTACAACCTTCAGACTTCAGCAAAGCCAAACATGCTTTGTTGTCCTGGTAAACCTGGATTGGACATTTGACAGGAATTTTCATATCTTTGCACAATTGTACTAACCATTCACAATCCTTAAGTGAATAAGACAGTGCATTCAGTTCGGCTTCACAAGTATTTAAGCTAACTGTTGTTTGCTTCTTGCATGACCAATCAAAAAGACCCTGATTGTACATGTAGCAAACTCCAGACGTACTTTTCCTGTCTGTAGCGTCACTTCCAAAACTTGCATCTGCAAATATCTCAAGACCACCAGACTTCTGATTGTTAAATCTCAGTCTGTAATGCATAGTGCCTTTCAAATACCGCGCTATGCGTTTCAGAGCTTTCCAATCCTTGACACTAGGATTGTTGACTTGTCTGCTTAGCAAATTACAGCTAACAGCAATGTCTGGTCTTGAACATCTGGCAATGAAGTTTAGCTTGCCTAGCACACTCCTGTACAGTGTAGTGTCAGAAAATGCTTCTTCAGTGTCATCTACCTGATAACCTGTTGTCATCGGTGTGTTTACAGGGTTAGCATCCATCAGATTTAGTTTGCTTAACACATCAGCAATTTTCCGTGACTGGTGTACTAGAATGTTACCATCTTGATCTCTCTCTATTTCCAGAGATAGGTAGTTGTTTACCTCACCAAGATCTTTCGTGTCAAAGTGCTCTTTCAGTTGAGCTAGGGCGCTATTGTACATTGCAACATCTTTCCAAAAGAATAATAAATCATCAACATAAAACAAACAGTACAGTTTCTTTTGCCCCTCCTCTTTGACAAATACACATGGATCAGCTTTCCCTTGCTGAAAACCTAGAGAAAACAATACTTCAGTGAGTTTTGTGTGCCAACACCGTGCACTTTGTTTGAGACCATAAAGGGATTTCTTCAGAGCACAAACAAATCCCTGTTTTACCTGTACGCCATCAGGTGGAAGCATATAAAGTGATTCATCTAGAGATCCGTACAGAAAAGCTGTATTAATATCATGGTGACTAATGTGTAGATTTTCCTCTGCAGCTAGCTTAAGCATAAGCCTAATGCTTTCATATCTCACTGTGGGTGAATAGGTCTCGTGATAGTCTTCACCTGGTACCTGTGCAAAACCTCTGGCTACCAATCTGGCTTTGTGTCTGACTATCTTGCCATTTTGATCTGTCTTCGCTTTGAAGACCCATTTGCTTCCAAGCAGTTTCATTCCTGGAACTACTGGAACTAGCTCCCATGTTTTGTTCCTTTCTAAGGAATCAAGCTCAGCCTTCATGGCATTTAACCATGGCTCAGCTTCCTTTGAATCCAAACCCTGGATTTCTTGGAAACTTGAAGGTTCAAATACCTTCTTGGAGCTTTTAACAGCTGTTACTGCTATCTTAGCAAACTCATCAGCAAATCTCTTTGGAGGTTTGCCTTTTGTGACTCTCTGTGACCTACGAATTAGCCTTAAGTCTTCAACACTCTCCTCTTCCTTCTTAGGAGAAAAACGACCTATTGTGAACAATGGTTCCTCCAATTCTTGATCAGAGCTTTCAGAGGGTCGCATAGAGGCTTCCGCACTCTTGAAATCCTCTGAATCACCCGATTCAGTTTCAGATTCAGACTCAGAACCTTCATCAGTGGGTGTGGGCTGTTGTGGTTGCTTTTGACTATCCTCAGTCTCATCACCGTCATCAGGATAACATTGGAAAATTCCCACATTCTCCCCCACTTTGCATTGTACTCAACACTTCTCGTGAGCTTAATTGTCTTAGAGTCAGTCATCATTATTCTGTAAGACCCTTTCTGATAACCTAGAAAGATACCATGCAATCCACGCTTGTCTAACTTGGAGTTTTGTGGTGAGCGAACCCACATGTCAGAACCAAAAATCTTCATGTGTTTGATGTATGGCTTCTTGCCAAACATCTTCTCATAGGGGGTACAACCGATCGCTGAAGATAACCTGCGATTGTAACTGTAAACAAAACACGAGAGAGATTCGGCCCAATAACTCTCTGGAAGATTGGCATCATGCAGCAAGGTTTTTAACCCTTGAAGCAAAGTCTGATTTGCCCGTTCCGCAAGTCCATTCTGCCATGGCGGCGAGGACTAGACAAATCGTGTTGAATTCCTTTCTCAGTCAGAAAAGCTTCAAACTGCTGAGAAGTGAATTCCCCCGCGATCACTGAAAAGAGTCTTTATCTTCTTACCATGCACATTTTCCAACCAAGCACAGAATTCCTTGAACCTAGGAAAAGCCTCCGATTTCTGCTTGAGATTGTACACAAAAATATATCTAGAAAATGCATCAATGAGAACCATGAAGTATCTATTTCCACCCAAAGAGGGTGCTAATGGTCCAACCAAATCAGCATGAACAACCTGGTATGGTTCTGTAGCTTTCCTACTAGACACCTTACCTTTCGCAGCCATTTTCACTTTGTTTGCTGCGCATGCTTTGCACTTCATGTGGTACCTGCAGGGTTTAATAGTCATACCTTCAACCAAGGCAGGCATTTTAGATACTGCCTCAAAATGCAAATGACCAAATTTGCGATGAAAATCGTGAATACATTCTGCATGCAAACTTTTGTTAGAACCTGCAATGCAACAAGTATCATCCTGCACCACATCATCATAATACAAAACAAACAAATGATCAACATATTCTGCATGCAATACATAATCATTTTTCTTTGTGATGATGCACTTCTTGTTCTTGAAGGAAACGTCAATGTTCCGCTCATTCAGCTGTCCAACGCTGAGCAGATTATGTTTGGCGTCTGGCACGTAAAGCACATTCTGTATCGATAAGTCCAAACTGTGAAGAACAACAGTTCCGTAGCCTTTACTGGGAATAGTGTGGTCATCCGCCTGGTGAATCGCACCTTCCTGCGGTGTAAAAGACACAAACAGTTTCTTATCGTTGCACATGTGGTGGGTGGCCGCTGAATCAACAACGAAGAAAGATCTAGACGTCTTCTGGACCTTTGCAACCTTTGGAGTGAAGCGTGAAACCATAGCCTTGTGCTGCGTTGTCCTAGACACCGGACCTTTGCCTTTGCCTCGGCCTTTTCCGCGCGATGAGCTTTCGCTGCGCTGCTCTGTCTTGGCCCTGGGATGTCTGCATTCCCTCTTCATATGGCCTAGACGTCCACACGAGTAGCATTTCACTGCCTCCAAAGCTTTGGCGCCATCTGGTGGTTCCACTGCACTATGGGATGACGTCTGTGAAGACTCCCCCTTGCCCATGCAGCCAGCACCCCGGCGATCTGCTTCATTTAAAATCACGGCAGTAACAAAGTCCACTGTCAGCTGAGCAGTTGGTTGCACAGCAATCTGGGTTGCAACAGACTCCCAACCTGAACCCAAAGATTGTAGTATCATGAAAGAATACACAGCCTCTGGAAAGTTGAGTCCTCTCTGTTGCAGCTCATGTCTGAGATTTTGCATCTCCATTAGATGTAAACGCACATCTCCACCTTCAGCAAGAGCCATATTATGCAGCTTGTTAAAATAAAACATAGTGGATCCAGCTTCTGTCCTTAAGTGAGCCTCTCTCAGAGCGTCCCAAATTTCTCTGGCTGAGGTCTTATCACGCAATAGACAGAGCTCTTCTGGGGATACTATCAATGTAAGAGTTCCCCTTGCTTTGGAATCCTTAGCTTCCCATGCATCTGTAACTGGAACTGGGGGTTTCTGTAATCACCTCAAACAAACCCTCTTTCCGCAGAATTGCCTCTGCATACTGAACCCAGTCGCTGTAATTTTTCTTGTTGAGCTTAGGAATCCCACAAGCATCCTGAAGGGCCATCATGACTCTGGCATTAGCCTTCAGCGTCATATGCTGCTTTAAATCTTGCTGCGTCACTGCTGCAGCTGCCTCATTACAAAGGCACACTTAAAAGTTACTTTCGATTTCCCCAGCATAGTGACTTGTGCCTGGGAGCCTATTCCCTCCTACCGGCAAAACCGGCTTTAAAAGTTCAAAGTCCAGCCATAAAGCCATTATCTTGAAGCTGGCAGGCTGCCCGGAGCAGTAGCACATACCTCATCAATCACTTCTACGCGCAGAGCAGATTCCTTTCCGATCCGTCCCTCTGCATTCCGATCCTTTTGCCGACACTCCGATTCGACCTCTGGGCCCATAACCACGTGTTGATTTAAAGCAGAGTCTGTCGTGCCCAGCGGAAGGATGAGGAAAATGTGCTCCATACTCTATATTGCTTTATTTACAGTTCAAAGCTGGTATATTACAGAAAGACATCTTGCGTCTGCAGGAGCAGAAAAATGCATCCTCTCTCCTCGACAGCTTGGAGAGAATCACACAGTGAAAAACAGGAAACCAGTGTACGTCACATCCAGTCTCCCTTTCCCGTGAGAAACTCCAACAGTACAGACTGTGGAATGTAAAACAATGTCTTGTGACTGCAGTTGCTGCTCAGTGAGGGAAATAGAAACCAACACTGCAGACGGAGGCCGTTTGTTTCCCCAGCGACATGTGACTGGCTGATTAGATTATCTGTCTGGAAACTGTAGAAACAGCTCCCTTTCCTTTCCTAAAGAAGCTGCAGAACTGTAAATTGAACCCCATAAAAACAGGATTTTTTTCCCTCTGCAAAGTAAGCTGAACAACTTTGAGCTGATCCTCAAAAAAGGGGCTTTCCCCCCTTTCATCCTCTAAAAACTATGTGCGTCTTATGGTCAGGTGCATCTTATGGAGCGAAAAATACGGTACGTTATAGTTAGGTATGCAGGTAGCTTCCTTATACCCAGTCAGACTGTGTATTCAGGAAGGGATGTAGCTCAGTGATAGAAGGCACTTTACATGTGTCATGAACTGGCTGGACACAGAGGAATGGTGGGAGGCACCAGCTGGGGAACCCCCAAGAGAAGAAGGCTCAAGAGTCCAGGGATTGGTGGTGGGGCAACAATGAGTGGCCAGAGGGAGAAGAAGGATTAGACTGGGAGGAGGAGGTGTTAGAAGCTGGAGAGGTGACAGGGGACTCAGCTACATTGGCAAAGAAAAAGCACTTTATATAAGGTCCATGAATAATAATAGCTTAAAGGTCCTGGGCCCTAAGGAAGTCAGACTAGCCTCCATCAGGGCCAGGGCTTTTTCAGTGATGGCTCTGACCTGGTGAAATGCTCTGTCCCATGAGACTAGGGCCCTGCAGGACTTGATCTCCTTCCACAGGGCCTGTAAGACAGAGCTATTCCACGTGGCTTCAATCTGAATTAGCCTGATCCACTATTCCCTTTCCCTTTCCCCCCTCTCCTCTTCTATGAAGAAACCCTATCTAGGACCCCACATTTAAATTCTTCCCCGGTCTCCTTGCCGGCCCTAGTAGGACCAACTTGGCCTGTTAGCCCTAGTGATCATTTGATGTCTACTGACTGGGTCCCCCCCCCAAAAAAAATGACCCCTGAATTTTTGAATTTTATTGATATTGATGCTGCATGACAGTAGCAGCAGCAGGTGGTGCATTCCTGGAAGGCCTGTTCTGCTGCCCCCATGGATCCTGCTGCATAAGGCAGTCGTCTCACCTTGCCTCATGATTGGGCCAGCCCTGATAGCAGCTGGAAGGCAACACATTAGCTATCTTACTCCTTCTACTGCAATGAGTGGGAAACTCCTGCAGGGAGGTGAGATCCATGTGAATCAGAATTCCTGCCCCCGTAAGACATTACTGGGTGCCGGCACCCCAGGACATTTTGACCACAAAAAACTGGAGTCTAGGCTCAGCTATTAAGCAACAGTTTTCAGTGTGCTTCACTTCAGCAGTGAATCCCACCAGGAGGGCTTCCTTCCATGACTGTTTTCTGAAAAGATGGCAAGAAGCCCAAGCAGAACAAACTTCAAATTACATCCTGAAATGAACATTGACCCTGGACAAGATGAGGTTGGTGCATATGGGAATTGCCAAGCAACCGCATTTGTGTGCACAAAGCTAAATCTTCTTAGCTCTAACAGATGTATGAGGGATGGCCTATTTTGAGCTGGTTTACTTGTTTGGTTCACTAACGGAAAGGGATGTGATGCGAAGGCAGCATAATGGGTGCAATGATGCTTCCCTAACTTACTGTAGTGATCAAAGTGAAGCCACGTAGTAATTTATTTTTTAAAGGGAATCTGCCCGGTTTCCCCTCTCCCTGTCTGCAAGGGGCTGATAAATGATTAACACGGAGGAATTTAAGAACAGGGGGAATAAAATGAATATGGTTCCAAGACAGCACTCTGGGGTGGAAAAAGAGTGCCTGTATTGCCAGTAATAAGAAATGGAAATAAGATAAATAGCAAATGAGACAGCCAGCAAAGCCAAATAAATAACATGGGGAAAGAACAAATATTTTCTGCAAAATAAAGAACGGGACTAAAACAAACAATAGGAGGAATAAGCACTGATGAAGATTAATTTGGTGATTCGTAAGTACAGGGGAAGAGAGGGGAAATTCTTGGAACTAATGGAAATGTGTTATGTCAGTTCTCCAGTCGTAACTGGGCTGGAAAATGTTCGCTGACATTCATAGCGTGGCATTTTCAGAAGTGATCCGTTGTGACCGAACTCTCCTCCCACTCCAAAATAAAATAAAATAAATCAGCCAGGGTTGAATTAGTGACAATTGCTTTGGGTTTAGTTCTAGAGTTGCTCGGGCCTGTTTTCTCCTTTCAAAGGCTCCATGGAGAGGCACAGGGTTTAGATGATGGCTTGATGGGGTGGGTGGTGAGCTCAGTTTTATACCTTTTCACCTTTTACACCATCATAGTGGGAAAGTGCTCTGCCCAAAGAGGCCCAGCAAGCAACTTATTTGGTTTCCAGGTAGCTGCCTAAAACATATTGTATCTTTCAAAAGGTGGCCAAAGACAAATGTTCCTTTTAAACCCATAATTTATTTATTTATTGTGTTTATATGCCGCTAATCCAACCAAGTACTCTGAATGGTTCACATGGACCATAAAATACAATTTACAATAAGGATGCTTTAAAAAGAAAAAAGTCGCAAAGCAGAATTCCCAGGGAGGGAGATGCATTGCACATACACCTTTTGTTCTAGTGGTGGGAAGCATCCATATAATAGCTATTCAGCACCATCTGACTAGTTCCGAACTGCATACTCTTCAAGTGTCCTGATTTTGTTGGGACATCCTAGAATCATAGAATCATAGAATCATAGAGTTGGAAGAGACCACAAGGGCCATCGAGTCCAACCCCTGCCAAGCAGGAAACACCATCAGAGCACTCCTGACATATGGTTGTCAAGCCTCTGCTTAAAGACCTCCAAAGAAGGAGACTCCACCACACTCCTTGGCAGCAAATTCCACTGTCGAACAGCTCTTACTGTCAGGAAGTTCTTCCTAATGTTTAGGTGGAATCTTCTTTCTTGTAGTTTGTATCCATTGCTCCTTGTCCGCTTCTCTGGAGCAGCAGAAAACAACCTTTCTCCCTGCTCTATGTGACATCCTTTTATATATTTGAACATGGCTATCATATCACCCCTTAACCTCCTCTTCTCCAGGCTAAACATGCCCAGCTCTCTTAGCCGTTCCTCATAAGGCATCGTTTCCAGGCCTTTGACCAGTTTGGTTGCCCTCCTCTGGACACGTTCCAGTTTGTCAGTGTCCTTCTTGAACTGTGGTGCCTGGAATTACAGAGGCCATCTTGGCTTCTGATTCAATCCTGGAATGTCCTGTTTCCCGCCTCCAGCGCTGCTGCCTCTGAGCTTGAGGAAGAGGATGAGGTAGCGCTTGCAGTTGCTGCTGGCACTTGTGGTGGTGCTCCGCTCTTGCATGAGTCAGCTGGCTCCCATGGCACCCAAAGGCATGTGCCCCAATTTTCATCAGTGGAATGTTGGAGGGTATGAAACTGTAGGACCTGTTGATTTAAAGCAGAGTCTGTCGTGCCCAGCGGAAGGATGAGGAGTACGTGATACATACTTTATATTGCTTTATTTACAGTTCAAAGCTGGTATATTACAGAAAGACATCTTGCCTCTGCCGGAGCAGAAAAATGCATCCTCTCTCCTCAACAGCTCGGAGAGAATCACACAGTGAAAAACAGGAAACCAGTGTACGTCACATCCAGCCTCCCTTTCCCGTGAGAAACTCCAACAGTACAGACTGTGGAATGTAAACACCTGTCTCGTGACAAGCAGAGCTGCACAGTGAAGGAAAGCAGAAACTAACATCCTCCCCCTTCTGTGAACATCACTGGGCAGCGTGTTCACACAATATCAGTACAAACCCAACTTCTGCACATAGGTACAGTGTTGATCCCTTGATACAATCTTGGACAATACATCAGCAGGAATTTCATTACCTGGCATATAGGACACCGTTACGAGTCCCTTCTGAATACATTCCCTAGCATGCTGCAACTTTAATTGCAAGTGCTTTGTGCTTTGCTTACAACCTTCAGACTTCAGCAAAGCCAAACATGCTTTGTTGTCCTGGTAAACCTGGATTGGACATTTGACAGGAATTTTCATATCTTTGCACAATTGTACTAACCATTCACAATCCTTAAGTGAATAAGACAGTGCATTCAGTTCGGCTTCACAAGTACTTAGGCTAACTGTTGTTTGCTTCTTGCATGACCAATCAAACAGACTCTGATTGTACATGTAGCAAACTCCAGACGTACTTTTCCTGTCTGTAGTGTCACTTCCAAAACTTGCATCTGCAAATATCTCAAGACCACCAGACTTTTGATTGTTAAATCTCAGTCTGTAATGCATAGTGCCTTTCAAATACCGCGCTATGCGTTTCAGAGCTTTCCAGTGCTTGACACTAGGATTGTTGACTTGTCTGCTTAGCAAATTACAGCTAACAGCAATGTCTGGTCTTGAACATCTGGCAATGAAGTTTAGCTTGCCTAGCACACTCCTGTACAGTGTAGTGTCAGAAAATGCTTCTTCAGTGTCATCTACCTGATAACCTGTTGTCATCGGTGTGTCTACAGGGTTAGCATCCATCAGATTTAGTTTGCTTAACACATCAGCAATTTTCCGTGACTGGTGTACTAGAATGTTACCATCTTGATCTCTCTCTATTTCCAGAGATAGGTAGTTGTTTACCTCACCAAGATCTTTCATGTCAAAGTGCTCTTTCAGTTGAGCTAGGGCGCTATTGTACATTGCAACATCTTTCCAAAAGAATAATAAATCATCAACATAAAACAAACAGTACAGTTTCTTTTGCCCCTCCTCTTTGATAAATACACATGGATCAGCTTTCCCTTGCTGAAAACCTAGAGAAAACAATACTTCAGTGAGTTTTGTGTGCCAACACCGTGCACTTTGTTTGAGACCATAAAGGGATTTCTTCAGAGCACAAACAAATCCCTGTTTTACCTGTACGCCATCAGGTGGAAGCATATAAAGTGATTCATCTAGAGATCCGTACAGAAAAGCTGTATTAATATCATGGTGACTAATGTGTAGATTTTCCTCTGCAGCTAGCTTGAGCATAAGCCTAATGCTTTCATATCTCACTGTGGGTGAATAGGTCTCGTGATAGTCTTCACCTGGTACCTGTGCAAAACCTCTGGCTACCAATCTGGCTTTGTGTCTGACTATCTTGCCATTTTGATCTGTCTTCGCTTTGAAGACCCATTTGCTTCCAAGCAGTTTCATTCCTGGAACTACTGGAACTAGCTCCCATGTTTTGTTCCTTTCCAAGGAATCAAGCTCAGCCTTCATGGCATTTAACCATGGCTCAGCTTCCTTTGAATCCAAACCCTGGATTTCTTGGAAACTTGAAGGTTCAAATACCTTCTTGGAGCTTTTAACAGCTGTTACTGCTATCGTAGCAAACTCATCAGCAAATCTCTTTGGAGGTTTGCCTTTTGTGGCTCTCTGTGACCTACGAATTAGCCTTAAGTCTTCAACACTCTCCTCTTCCTTCTTAGGAGAAAAACGACCTATTGTGAACAATGGTTCCTCCAATTCTTGATCAGAGCTTTCAGAGGGTCGCATAGAGGCTTTCGCACTCTTGAAATCCTCTGAATCACCCGATTCAGTTTCAGATTCAGACTCAGAACCTTCATCAGTGGGTGTGGGCTGTTGTGGTTGCTTTTGACTATCCTCAGTCTCATCACCGTCATCAGGATAACATTGGAAAATTCCCACATTCTCCCCCACTTTGCATTGTACTCGACACTTCTCGTGAGCTTAATTGTCTTAGAGTCAGTCATCATTATTCTGTAAGACCCTTTCTGATAACCTAGAAAGATACCATGCAATCCACGCTTATCTAACTTGGAGTTTTGTGGTGAGCAAACCCACATGTCAGAACCAAAAATCTTCATGTGTTTGATGTATGGCTTCTTGCCAAACATCTTCTCATAGGGGGTACAACCAATCGCTGAAGATAATCTGCGATTGTAACTGTAAACAAAACACGAGAGAGATTCGGCCCAATAACTCTCTGGAAGATTGGCATCATGCAGCAAGGTTTTTAAGCCTTGAAGCAATGTCTGATTTGCCCGTTCCGCAAGTCCATTCTGCCATGGCGAGCGAGGACTAGACAAATCGTGTTGAATTCCTTTCTCAGTCAGAAAAGCTTCAAACTGCTGAGAAGTGAATTCCCCCCCGCGATCACTGAAAAGAGTCTTTATCTTCTTACCATGCACATTTTCCAACCAAGCACAGAATTCCTTGAACCTAGGAAAAGCCTCCGATTTCTGCTTGAGGTTGTACACAAAAATATATCTAGAAAATGCATCAATGAGAACCATGAAGTATCTATTTCCACCCAAAGAGGGCGCTAGTGGTCCAACCAAATCAGCATGAACAACCTGGTATGGTTCTGTAGCTTTCCTACTAGACACCTTACCTTTCGCAGCCATTTTTACCTTGTTTGCTGCGCATGCTTTGCACTTCATGTGGTACCTGCAGGGTTTAATAGTCATACCTTCAACCAAGGCAGGCATTTTAGATACTGCCTCAAAATGCAAATGACCAAATTTTCGATGAAAATCGTGAATACATTCTGCATGCAAACTTTTGTTAGAACCTGCAATGCAACAAGTGTCATCCTGCACCACATCATCATAATACAAAACAAACAAACGATCAACATATTCTGCATGCAATACATAATCATTTTTCTTTGTGATGATGCACTTCTTGTTCTTGAAGGAAACGTCAATGTTCCGCTCATTCAGCTGTCCAATGCTGAGCAGATTATGTTTGGCGTCTGGCACGTAAAGCACATTCTGTATCGATAAGTCCAAACTGTGAAGAACAACAGTTCCGTAGCCTTTACTGGGAATAGTGTGGTCATCCGCCTGGTGAATCGCACCTTCCTGCGGTGTAAAAGACACAAACAGTCTCTTATCGTTGCACATGTGGTGGGTGGCCGCTGAATCAACAACGAAGAAAGATCTAGACGTCTTCTGGACCTCTGCAACCTTTGGAGTGAAGCGTGAAACCATAGCCTTGTGCTGCGTTGTCCTAGACACCGGACCTTTGCCTTTGCCTCGGCCTTTTCCGCGCGATGAGCTTTCGCTGCGCTGCTCTGTCTTGGCCCTGGGATGTCTGCATTCCCTCTTCATATGGCCTAGACGTCCACACGAGTAGCATTTCACTGCCTTCAAAGCTTTGGCGCCATCTGGTGGTTCCACTGCACTATGGGATGACGTCTGTGAAGACTCCCCTTGCCCATGCAGCTAGCACCCCGGCGATCTGCTTCATTTAAAATCACGGCAGTAACAAAGTCCACTGTCAGCTGAGCAGTTGGTTGCACAGCAATCTGGGTTGCAACAGACTCCCAACCTGAACCCAAAGATTGTAGTATCATGAAAGAATACACAGCCTCTGGAAAGTTGAGTCCTCTCTGTTGCAGCTCATGTCTGAGATTTTGCATCTCCATTAGATGTAAACGCACATCTCCACCTTCAGCAAGAGCCGTATTGTGCAGCTTGTTAAAGTAAAACATAGTGGATCCAGCTTCTGTCCTTAAGTGAGCCTCTCTCAGAGCGTCCCAAATTTCTCTGGCTGAGGTCTTATCACGCAATAGACAGAGCTCTTCTGGGGATACTATCAATGTAAGAGTTCCCCTTGCTTTGGAATCCTTAGCTTCCCATGCATCTGTAACTGGAACTGGGGGGGTTCCTGTAATCACCTCAAACAAACCCTCTTTCCGCAGAATTGCCTCTGCATACTGAACCCAGTCGCTGTAATTTTTCTTGTTGAGCTTAGGAATCCCACAAGCATCCTGAAGGGCCATCATGACTCTGGCATTAGCCTTCAGCGTCATATATATGCTGCTTTAATTCTTGCTGCGTCACTGCTGCAGCTGCCTTATTACAAAGGCAGCATAGTGACTTGTGCCTGGGAGCCTTTTGCCTATTCCCGGCAAAACCGGCTTTAAAAGTTCAAAGTCCAGCCATAAAGCCATTAACTTGAAGCTGGCAGGCTGCCCGGAGCAGTAGCACATACCTCATCAATCACTTCTACGCGCAGAGCAGATTCCGTTCCGATCTGTCCCTCTGCATTCCGATCCTTTGCCGGCACTCCGATTCGACCTCTGGAGCCCATAACCACGTGTTGATTTAAAGCAGAGTCTGTCGTGCCCAGCGGAAGGATGAGGAGTACGTGATACATACTTTATATTGCTTTATTTACAGTTCAAAGCTGGTATATTACAGAAAGACATCTTGCCTCTGCCGGAGCAGAAAAATGCATCCTCTCTCCTCAACAGCTCGGAGAGAATCACACAGTGAAAAACAGGAAACCAGTGTACGTCACATCCAGCCTCCCTTTCCCGTGAGAAACTCCAACAGTACAGACTGTGGAATGTAAACACCTGTCTCGTGACAAGCAGAGCTGCACAGTGAAGGAAAGCAGAAACTAACAGGACCAAGGCATGGGTGGAGCTGCTGCACTGCTGAAGTGACGGCCCCTTCTGATCAGTCCACTCACATGAACTAGGAACATAGCAAGCTGCCTTATACTGAGTCAAGCCATTGAGTCAATGTAGCTTAGTATGGTCTACACTGAATTACAACAGCAGCCGTCCAAGGTTTCAGACCGTGGTTTCTCTGAGCCTCCCAGTTTTATCTGGAGATGTCAGGGATAGAACCAGATGCCTTCTGAGTGCAGAGAAAACCCTTCCCCGTACTTTCATATTGATGTGTATGCTGTTATGTTTTGTTAAGTATCTATTGTAAAACTGTATTGAATGGTCTCTTACAGGGAGATGCTACCGATAATAAAGTATTCTTGGTGCATATTTTTGTTACAAACCTGACTGCTCTGCATGTGGTGTGTATAGAAAAGCAGCACCCATCTGATTGTTCCCCTCTGATTCTCTCCCTCTTCCCCTCCCATTAATTGTTAGGGAAAATTCATTCATCCTTGGTTATAAATTGTGCTGCCTTACGATGACGTGCAGATATTAGGGCATTGTATGGTGATTGAAACACTTACAGATATGGGCACTTGGGGTGGGGTGGCTTCTATGGAACAGCACATCCAGACTTTAATCCACCACTGTTTGCCTTCTTCTCTAATTGCATCTGGAGGATCAGCACATCTGGATGCATTGGGTGGACTTAGGGTTAGAAAACAGAGGTCTAAGAGGTTTTCCGCTTGCCACGTACCTATCAGTTTTCCATTGGATCTGCTGTTTCCCTGGGAAAACCTGGTCTCTACCACTAAATCAGAACAATCATCTGTGGGAAATCTGGTTTATGTTTGTCTCGAATCAGCTGTAAAGAGTAGGTTTCCCCTGGAGCCAAGAGGTGGGACAAGCAGACGTGCGGATGAGCCCTTATAGCATGTGACAGTACTTATTCAAATGCGGCAAAGAGCATTGTTTTGTAGGGGTGGGGGGGTGGGGAACGAGAATTGAAAGCTTTCCACAAGCCATGAAAAACTATGAAACACCAGTACTGGAGAAAAAAAAATAGTGGGATGCAGGAATAGAGGTGGCTCACCTTTAAAAGGATGAGGAAGAGGATATGTGTGATATTTCTCACATTAAAAAGCAACAGGGAACACCTTAAAGATTATAGGAATGACTGCAGAGTACATGTTTTGCATGTGGAAGGTTCCCATTCAATCCCTTATACTGCCAGTTTCCTACTGCTCTACTGCACTAGAGGAGATCCTATGCAGTTCTGAAAGACCCGAGACTTTGAAGAACCATCCCCTCCATTTCCAGTATTAAGGCTGGGGGTGATGTAAGTAGCCAATGAGGGACCAATCATGCACAAGAGGATGGTATCAGAAGCAGAAGTGGATCACCGGGTGAGGGAGAGCCACTATGCCAGCTTCCTGGCAGATGGGTCACTGTTCCTTACTGGGCGGAAGAGGACGCAGGGAAGTGTAAAAGACATGCTAGGTGTTTGCACTGCACAGATCTCCCTGCTACCTGATACTTCACTTCCTCCTTTCTGGTAAGCCTGGGAATCTATCAGAGGAGCTCTGCCCACCAAGCTACCCCGATCGAAAGCTTGTGTGAACTTTGTAGAAGCGCAAAACATCTCTAGGCAGGGAAAAGTGGGGAAAACCCTGAAACTGTCCAGTGAGGACTGAGCAGGCTTTAACAACAAGCAAACAAATCCATAGGCATCCTTCTGGTTCAAAAGGTAGGTAAAGAAAAGAAACATCTCATCAAACCAAATGCAACCTTCTGGATGCCTGACTATTCATTTTCCATTAGTTGCACTCCCAAGAAAATAGCAAAAGCATAGAACAAAAAAGAGCAGGTCTAATGAGCCCCTGCTGGAGTTCCATAGATATTGATGGGGTCCTTCTTTTGATGGACAGAACACTGCCAGTTAGTGAAGACAGTGGTGAGCTAAGGGTGCCAGTGGTCTGGCACAGTTTAAGAAGCTTCCAACATTCCATTTACACATAAAAAGAAAACAATCAGCATGCAGCTATCTGTCTAATTAGTCTCCACTGCTTCTATCTCTCAGTTGATCAGGTGTGTCTGTATCGAAATCAGGTACCAGATCAGGCTTGGCGATAGCAGTGATCAATGCAAAGCAGACATGAATTCAATGCTGTGCTCCTTTTGTTGAAAAAGCTTTTTGTAACCTAAATCCCGCTAGCAAAGCCTAGCTATTTGTTAGATGGGATTTGCATACATACCTCTGCTACCCTCGACCCTGAAGTAGGCAAGGCACCCTGATAGGTCCATGAGCTCTGCTTCTTCCAGGGATGGCAAAGTTGTCACAACCTCGCTAATAAGAAACCACAAGAGAGTAGCTATACAGGAAAAACAGCGTTGCTGGAGTCAATTCTTCATTCTTTCACCTCCTCTCCTACCTTAATACTAACTTCCTTTTTTTACACTTGAATAGAGATATAGCCTTAAGATCGGAACAGGCTGAAGCCTATTGTAGGCCCATATGTTCTGCTTCATAGAATCACAGTCTCAGAGAATTGTAGTGTTCGAAGGGACCCCAAGGCTTCCATATTAGAGATGTTAGGTATTATGTACTGAAGTTCTCACCCTGGGCCAGCAGAGGGATACTGTAGACAGTTATGCAAATGAAGGATCGAAAGTGACGTTCAGTGATTGGATAGTTTGTATGCAAATGAAGGATCGAAAGTGACGTTCAGTGATTGGATAGTTTTAGAAAGTTGCTACAGTTATGTTGTTCTGGAGCTCTATATAAGCAGGCTGACTGAGCTC